AAGATGCAAAAGTAATGAAAAGAAAGGTCTAATGTTTAAGGAATGTTGTTTTGAAAGAAATTCATGCTTTTCTTCACGAAGGAAGCATTAAATTGATCAAAAGTGACAGGGAGAGACATTTATAATGTTATAAAAAAAAATTGCGGGGGAGGGGTGCGGGGAGTACCATGGTTTCCACAACAGTGTTATTTTGCAATTATATATATATATATATATATATATATATAAGAAATGTTTCTTGAGCACCAAATCCATATATTAAGATATTTTAATATATATTTAAATACTATGGTATTATAGCATTAAATATATTAAAGTAGAAAACAGTTATTTTAAATATTTCACAATATTACTCTGAGAGACATTTATAATGTTATAAAAAAAAATTGGGGGGGAGGGGTGCGGGGAGTACCATGGTTTCCACAACAGTGTTATTTTGCAATTATATATATATATATATATAAGAAATGTTTCTTGAGCACCAAATCCATATATTAAGATATTTTAATATATATTTAAATACTATGGTATTATAGCATTAAATATATTAAAGTAGAAAACAGTTATTTTAAATATTTCACAATATTACTCTTTTTACTGTATTTTAATCACATAAATGCAGCCCTGGTAAACATTAGAGACTTCATTCAAAAACATAAAAAAATTGTACCAACCCAAAACTTCTGAACAGTAATATAATTCACCCCAAAAAGTAAATTCTGCCATCATTTACTCATATTTGTTATTTAGTTTAGCTTACAAATAGTTCAGTTTATTATTAGTTTATGAGCAAAATATGATCATTAAAAATGATCTTTGTGATGGTTCGTGACACAACCACCAAAACATCAAACCACACATTAAATATAGCCATATGATTTGTGCATTATATATATGAAGTCTTCTGAAGCCATGCAATAGATTTGTGTGTCCAAAAAGAGCATCTATGACCAAAAGTATGGACTTTTTTATTTTACATTTATGGTCACTTTGAACTGTCATTGTATGCAAAAGACCTGCATGAACATTCTTCAAAACATCTCCTTTTGTGCTCCATGGAACCAGTAACAGCGCATGTCTTGGAACGACATGAGGATGAGAAATTTATGACAGAATTTTCATTTTTGGGTGAACTTTAATTAAAATAAACAACATTTACCACAAAGACAAGCATTAAAACATTCAAGCTTTCCCTCAAGTAAAAACTCCTCCTCAGCATCTGCACTACTTACAATTCTGACAACAAAGCAAACAAGAGTTTTTAATGACCCGAGACAGTGAGCATCTCAGGAATATAATACCTCGCAATATGTTCAGCATAAAGCAATAGATGAAATCACACAGCGTAACATATTTTCCAAAACACCCTGTATCTTAAGATGGAATCGTCTGTTTTTTTCACGTTTGATGTTTACCAGACGGCAATTAAAAACAAGCTCTGCTGAGGATTGGTTCGCCCCACTCATCCGCCTACCTACAGAAAGACTCAGCCTCGACTGATTTTTTTCAGCTCTCTGCTCATGTCAATCACCGTTCTTGCTCTCTGCAGCCTAGCAGCAGCCTACCACCCTATCCTCCTTTAGGAAACCGAACGGGAAAAAAGCATAAGCAAGTGTAAGAAAAAACACAAAGAAGAAACTGCCGATCTTCCAACTCGCAAAACACAGATCACAACATCACAAATATGTCGCTATTATGAAAATGTGACTGAGGAACATGTGACCCGAACCATTTGAATGCTCACGACAACAAAGGAACAGAAAGATCAAGAAAAAAAGTCACCAACAAGAGCACTTTCATGGGACAGAAAGTCTTGTGAAAGCTTTGAGGCCTTATTTGCCTTCAAAGTCCTCCAGCCATCCTGGGTGTAGGACGGGCTTAAGTGCACCAACATAAGGCCCAGCTGTGTGGGTGTCAGATTTTAGCCCACTAATCACAAGCTCAGAAGTCCTTCTCTGTTTTGGAGAGGCGTTCGTCCATGGAATGCGCTCTTTGCCAAAACCTCTTTTTGAAGTCGACCGCAGTTGTTATGATGAAACTTGGGTCTCATTTTGAAACTTGTCTCATTCTGTGACATCAAATAAGGAGAATTAAGAAACAAGAGCAAAACAAAGTGAACATTTAGACCCTCAGTGTTTATTCATGCTTGTTCACAGTTAAAGGAATAGTTCACCCAAAGTTGCTGAAAATTCACTCCAGATCAGTTTGTTTCTTCACAGATTTGGACAAATTTAGCATCGCTGTACTGTCATAATGAGAGTTCAAACAGCTGATAAAAACAATCATCCATAAGTAATCCACACGACTCCAGTCCATCAATTAACAATGGATCTTGTTGCAGTGGCATGTTTGTAATAAACAGACACTTTTATTACAAACAGACATTTATAGACATTTTTTTTTTACTTCAAACCATTGCTTCCGACTAAAATACGAGTCCTCTTTTCATAATATTGCAAAAAGTCATCTCATCTGAATCAGGGGAGAAATATGCACATACCCAGTAACAATTGCACAGATCAAGTGAACGCAATTCAAAATAGTTCTAAATATGTGACGGTGGATTTTGATGTGAGAGGACAACAGTGGATGGACTTTTTCACTGGAAGAAACATTTTCATGGATTGTGGACTATAAGCCACGGTTTAAAGTTAAAACTCTTTAATGCTGAATTTGTTTCTTACAAACATGCAACGTTTTGCTTCACAAGACATTCATTGCTAGACTGGACTAATGTGGATTGCTTGTGGATCAATGTGATGTTTTTATCAGCTGTTGACTCTTATACTGACTATATATAATAGGTGCCCTATTCACTGCAGAGGACCCATTGGTGAGCAAGTGTTGTAATGTTAGATTTCTCCAAATTTCTCACGATGAAAGAACAAACTCAGATAGATCTTGGCCTGAGAGTAGATTTTCAGATTAGTTTATTTTTGGCTGAACTATTCCTTTAAGGCATATTGACAATTAAGTTACAATAATTTTGTTTCTATTAATGCATGTTTCCAATTAATGTGTGGTAAAAAAAAATGTTATGATTATGCTAAAATAATCTATTTTTGTTTCTAATTTACCAGTAGCTCTTAGTATTCTCAACCAGTGTCATAAAATGGTCACGTAAGTTGAGTTATTTTTTTAAAAGGCCCTTAACTGCGTCAAAAAAGGGACTTTCTCTGTACCTTAACAAAAACCACAAAGCCTTCCTCTAACCAACACTTTTTTCTTAATACTTTCCCCTGTGGGACATAACCTTGTGACAGTCTGCTACAGCAACTGAAGATATAAGCCTCATTAGAGCTCAACGGTACTGTTGAGTGCAAGCAGCAAAATTACTGAAATTTTGTCCATTTAACAGGTTGAATGAGAAAAGAAACGCTCTCTTTCTGGGGCAACGAGGTTAGAATTCTTCCTAGAAACCAAAATGACAGCATCTGCATTAGTCAGATGCTTGCTGACTCCATGCAAGCGTAAGTGACAGTGGGTCTCAGCCTGGCGTGGGTGTGCCTGTCAGGAAAAGCCGCTGTTGTCTCTGCATCCTAGAGAAATGAGAAAGCAGCCGCCTGCTGTGTCTACGCCCACCACAAAAATCCCCCTTCCATTTCAAAGGGCGAAGACTGCACAGAGATGACATTTTCATCTGGCCTCCTCTAGATTTTGGTTTAACGTTTTTCTTCCCACTGCTTATTTTTGCGTTTGCTTCAAGACTGCTTTTGCAGGACTAGACATTTTAAGATGGTTTAAAATTGCTGATAGACAATTATTTTAGAATAAGCAATATGGATTACAGTTTAAGTATCTGAGATTTTCAGCATCCAAACAACTATAACCAAACATAACTGGTTTGTCTGCATGTGTATGCAATCTTATCACGGTCCTTCTAACCTGATAGTGATTTCTGACTGAGCATCTGTAAAGGTTCTTCGTATCAGTTCCATATTTTTTTAGCTGTGACTAATGAGGCCTTATTTTAGGCCCTGTAGTCCCTTATAGGGTCTGTTTTTCCTCATTGTGACCAGTTTATGTCCATGATGAAAACAGTGTGAGAAGTGTCTATGCATTAAATGAATGTGTTCTTAGCACAACAATTTAATTGTTTATTAGATTTTATTAGGAACCATAGCGGACAGTGGAGTCATTCCAAATAAGCAGACTTGACAAGTTAGATTTGTGGATTATAACTAGAGGTCGACTGATACCGGATTTTTCAGATAACAATAACTAAGTTGGATTGCACTGGTTGATAACCAGTTAGTCAGTCCATACTTTTTACAATGAATACTGAATGAAAACAAACATAACTCTCCCAAGTAAAATAGTGCCGAACTTTATTACAAAAATAAAAACCGTTAACCATGAAAATGTACTGTACTTTTTAAATATTAATTAGACCTATACCTTGATCATTCATGTTAGTTCACAGTGCATTAACTAAAGATAACAGATAGAACTTTAAAATGTATCAATAAATGTTGATACAATGAACAGTGCTTCTACAGTATTTATTAACCTTGATGTTACAAAAAGACTCTTTTTGGTTACCATTTCATATAAATCCAAACAGTCATGCCTTTAGATGGCCATCTTTATCTACACAAAGGCCATAGCATTGAAATGAGATAGAACAAATAAAATATTTGATCCATTTTTAGTTTTAGTGTTTTAAAAAAATTATAATTTATTTAATTATTAGCTTACCATCAACTAACAAATCTCCTGCAGTAACAGTTCACTTATGAACCCCAGTTTGGGAAACCTTGCTGTAAGTGGGGTTAACCCTAACCCTACATCTATTTATAAATGAACAACATAAATTGTGTGAGTAATACTGTTGGATAGAAGCAGCCACGTATGAGCATGTCAGGTTTTTAGAAAGTGAGGATGCTGCAGTTGTATTAGTTCAGTGATTAGGTTGAATTTAGTCTGTGGGCAGAAGCTCTTCTGGAGCCAGTTGGTCTTTTTCTGGGACGCTTTTGTACTGTTTTAGACAGAAACGAATGATGGGGATTGTTAAATCAAAGCAGAGGAGTAACTCTGATCCTTTCCTGATTCTGACAGATTGCACCTATGTGAAAGGAGACAGTGCCCACGAGTATTCTGGGAGTCGGTGCTTCTGTTACAGCCCTGGTACAGTAATCAAATGGAAGGACATCTGGTCCACCTTCAAGGTAATATTACATCCTGCTGTAATATTATTTACTCTTAATGTAGTGTTTTCTTAATTGGAACAACATAGGGTGAGTAAATAATGACCAAAAAAATAATTTGGGTTAACTCTTTAAATTGAATGCTGACAAGACGCATGTTGTTCACAGGTAAACGTGACGAGTGATAATGACGTCTTTGTCGTGTTCCCGATGGAGACGGGAAAGTGCCACCTTCCGGATGATGTTCTGACTGTTATTAACTGCTTTGTTGAACACTACTGGCCGTCCACTATCCAAAAGGAGAAGTCTTTGGACATTCCTCTGCTTGATAAAGATGTCTGCTTCATGACCAAGTCACCTAGAAGCAATACTGAGTATACACTACACGTCTCCAACAAAAGTGAGCCAGAAAATCACACACACTTTTTTCTTACAAAGAGTAGTTTGGCATTGAATCATGATCGTTTATGTTCTTTTACAGGGTTAAATAGAATGTGCTTCCTGCTTTTTGTGTGTGGGCTGGTGCTGTTTTTCGGAGCGGGAAACATATGCAGGTAAGTGGTAATTTAGCTGTAGTTGTAGATGTTCTCATCTAGAGATATTCTGCAGTAGAGTGTCAGATTTAATTCTGATGAAGGTTTTTTTTTTTCTTCCCGCAAATGAATTACACCACCTTAAACTGGGATAAGATAAAGTAGTTTAATATAAAAATGACACTACATTTTAAGGAATTGTTCACCTAAAATCGAAGGCATTTTCTGAAGAATCTTTATTCAGCCTTTTTTTAATCGAGACCATGGTAAAATTGGTCAGTGCACCTTTTTGTGGTATATTCTGAAGTCATCATCAGTTGATGCCAGCTTGTGCTGTCTGCATAAGGGATATTCAGTTCAGTACATGATTTAAAATTTATAAAGCCTTTATTAAAGTGGTTCTCAACTAGGGGGCCTATGCACGTCAAAGAGTGCTGCAAGATGGCTTAAAATGAGTGCTGTCAAACGATTAATCGCATCCAAAATAAAAGTTTTTGTTTGCATAATATATGTGTGTGTACCGTGCATATTTATTATGTATATATAAAGACACACACAGCATATATTTTGAAAATATTTACATGTATATATATATATTTATATTCATATAATTTATATTATATAAAAATACATTTAATATATAAACAGCATATTTTTCTGAAATATATACATGCATGTGTGTGTATTTATATAAACAATAAATATACACACAGTACACACACATATATTATGTAAACAAAAACTTTTATTTTGGATGCGATTAATCGCGATTAATCATTTGACAGCACTACTTAAAATATTTTTTTATCTGTCTGTCTACCAATGCTCTGAAGTCCCACCTGCATTAACATTGAAAACAGTGTGCATTCCACACACGATTTGATGATAAAAAGGCAATGGATTTCACGTGTGTTGTAACTAGGGAAGATTTTTCTTGAATAACAAGCTCAATTTCAGTGATTTTTCTAATGCAAAAAATATTATATGAATATGGTGCACAAGTCATGTGGACTACTTTTATGTTGCTTTTACAGTGCTTTTTGTCCTTTTTGAAGCTTGACAGCTATGGTCACTTTAAATGGATATTTAATTCATTTGTGGTTGAAACTTAAAACTTATTATTCTAACCGACTGTTCTTGTTTTCCAGGAGCCCACTGTTCTTCTACAGCACTGGAGTTATACTAGGAGTCATCGCCACATTTGTTTTTCTGACGCTTGTGCTCCGAAACTTCGTACCAAAGGTGTGTAATGCTTCTGTCACAACCTTGATCATGATCATGATACACAGTATCACATGTTTCCTCACACTGATCAAACATGTTGGATGAGTAGTATGAGTTTAAGCCTGTCATGCTGGCATTGTCTCCGCCGATGAGATTAAAGGTAAAGGGAGGTGGAGACTCACTCCTCGACACAAACATCCTCAGGCATGTACATCATCGTAAGGAGTTGCTGTGCAATCAATTACAGAATGATTGGCAGCTCACAGTTTTGGGGCAGGTCAGAAGGTCAAGCACATTCACTAAGGCTTTGTTTTTCCCCCCCAGCGAGGGCTGTTCCTGGTGTTGTTGGGCGCTGGCTCTGGTCTGTCCTACATGGGGATCCAGAGGGTGTTAAATGAATGGGATGACATCGTGACTGAGCACTGGATGGAATTACTGGGTAACTAGGCAACCCTTTTCTGTTACAACCCATCTTGCCCTGTTTTCCTTTGCAATCATGTCATCAGCTAATTACATCAGACAGTAAGCCTTCGCTATTAATGTTAATAAATGGTCTTTCAAATGTACCTTTTGTACAGTTTTGCGTTTCAGTCAAATGCCACGTGTTGTCTGTTAATTTGCTTGACGTGTTCTTTATACAATAGAATAATTACTGTACATGTCATTTAGACAGATTATCCTTCTACACTCTCGCTGCATGTTTCATCAGCTGAAGCGCTCGCATTAGTACATGCCAGCATCACATAGTAACAGTCTAGAGCAGATTGAGATTCACCTTTTGTATCGTATATCTTGGCTCAGTTAGTGTTATAATATATGAGGGCCAAGTATTTTGAATGCTGAAATGACTGCCTCTTGACTGCTCAATAGACTCTATTCTCTGCCAAATCAATTTCCCTCTTCAAGCACTCGCAGTATGTAAATGCATCGGTGTTTGAATGCGAGAACCACAGGCATAGATTAAGGGAAAGAAGCTGCAGTGCTGCTGGAACATTGATTTCTATGCCTAAAACAAAAAGGCTCTGGGAGGATAACGGCCCCAGTGAATGTCTGCTTTTTTGGCCCTTTTATTTCCTCTTTGTTTTTCTTCTTCTTTGTTTTCTCCAGCTCTACTGTAACATTAAAGGAAATGTTCAATCAAAACGGTTAGGAATCACTTTATAGTGAGTAAATAATGACACAGTAAATTAATATAACCAATTTTGTTACATTTATTTATCACCATTGTTCTTTGGATTGTATAATAGAGTATTTAGCAATCCATTGCTTTGTTGCAGCAATAGCTCATAATGTTTGCATTCAGTGAGTGTAGTAAGCTTGGCAAATATACCACATGACATCCATTATTTTATATTGATGTTACACAGTCACACAATGCACATTTTAGCAAGTGAAAGCTTGCCTTTAAGGAATGGTTCAACGTGACACTGGGTTGTTTCAATGTGTATAGATCTATTGTGACTGTTGCAACCTGAGTGTTGTATGTACATATTATTACTGTTGCTTTATGGGCTGTTTATGACAGGCAAGCTCAGGCAGGCTGCTTCTGAATGACACAAATTGGGTGTGCTTTTTTATTGTTACCTTACTACATAAAATGGTAAGGTGCTGTATGTATGCATGCATGTGTAGGGAGGTCAATAATACCAATCTTGACATTTAAAAATAATGTTGACATTTTCTCTTTTCTCTTTCTCTGCAGTTTATGTGCTCATATCTGGCTTATGTATTATTACTGTTGCTTTATGGGCTGTTTATGACAGGCAAGCTCAGGCAGGCTGCTTCTGAATGACACAAATTGGGTGTGCTTTTTTTATTGTTACCTTACTACATAAAATGGTAAGGTGCTGTATGTATGCATGCATGTGTAGGGAGGTCAATAATACCAATCTTGACATTTAAAAATAATGTTGACATTTTCTCTTTTCTCTTTCTCTGCAGTTTATGTGCTCATATCTGGCTTATTTAGCTTTGCTGTATGCTACAAACATGGGCCCATCACCAACAAACACACCCTCAACTTTATGACCTGGTGTATGCAAGTAGTGGGCATGGTTTTGGTGTACTATGGGATCACATTCCCCCCCGCCTGCTACGTACTGATCATGTTCCTGTTGTGCTGGAAGATTGTGCCCTTGGCCTGGAGCCTTCTGCACTTGATCTGGAGTCTTCTAATGTGGATTTGCAGGTAAGAAAAGCACCACAAACTGTGAAACAGGAGATACATTTTTAGGGCAGGTCTTTGTATTTTCCCCATCCAATTGCATTCAAAAACTGATCATGGTTACTTACCAAAATGAAGCCAGGAGGTTGGTGGAAAGAATTAAAAAGGGCTGGTGACACTATACTTTTTGTTCCATTGACTTCCATTCACACAAAAGCGAATACAGAAGACAGAAGCTCATGCTAATTTTGCTGCGCACCAAAGTTCAAGTTTGGTGAACTCTGCCCTGCGAATTCGTATGACGTGAAAACGTGGTGTAACCAATAGTAGATTGATAAGTCACGGCATGACGTCTTAGCTGAATTAAAAGAATGAAACTTTAAATCTGTAAGAATGCAGCGTTGCAATACAGTGGAGTAGATTGCATAATTTTTCATTTTGAATGTGTAACATGTTGAATTCTCTTTTTTAAAAAAGACTCAAAGATTATGCTCAAAGTCTAGTGTGACTACGGTTAAAGAAGGATTCATAATGACAGTCAAATGAGAAAGTTTTCCCAGAGACAAAATCAATGTTTCTTAACAGATATTGGCGTCTCACACACACACAAAATCTTCAGTCTTCTTTTTTGCTTTGTGCAAATAATGTGCAGAGATGAATTGTACACAATAAGACATGCATTAAGAAAAATAAATATGGTAATTTTGAGTTCATGCTGACTAAGTCTAAGATGTAAACTGAAAGCTAATCGTATGCTGAAATTAACCTTTGAACAGGTGAAATAGGCCTATGTATTCATAAAAATTTGCATGTATTAACTTTGACTTTCTGTCTTCAGTCTCTTTTACTCATTCCTGGGCTTGCTCTGGAGGAAGAAACGGCCCAAGGTCAGGCTACTGACTGAAGAGGAATACAGAGAGCAGGGAGAGATCCACACCAGAGCCTCTTTGGATGAATTACGGAAGCACTGTAACAGGCCTGGCTTTCCTGCATGGGACACTGTGTTGAGGCTGCGATCACCACATAGGTATTTATATTTTGTATTCATCAAAATAAGCATGTTCAAAGGTCACACGTACTGTATACATCCCATTTTATTTAATGATGTTCCTCACCAGTTGTTTCTGCCTCTTTCAGGTATGCAGAGTTTCTGCGTAGTGGCAGCCACATCACTCAAGAGGAGCTTCAGAATCATGAGAATCAGTACGGGCTTGGCGGGACGTACTACGAAAACGAGCTCTTTAACAGCAGCTCCAGCGACACCCAGTCGCACAGAGGAGAAGCAGAGGACACTAGTGAAGACGAGCTGGAGAGAAACAGTCCTCCAACCCAAAATAACATCCCCAGTCCTGATGTATATATTCCAGCCGTCTGCCCGTATCCCCCCGTCACCTACACCCCTCAGCCAGAACCCATGGATCCAGAAGACCAGGATTTCTTTTAAAATTGTCCTCCTGTCTGTAGGATGAGTGATTTTATGTTCATTTTAAAGAGACTTTTTTTTAATTGCAAAATATTTTTAGGAAGGAATGAAGGAAAAAATAATCTTTAGCTCTCATTTGCGTTTAAATGATCTCTTTCAGACGGCGTGGGCTGTTATATTTTTTTAGCAGGAGTTTGTATTGTACTTCTCAAGTGATGCAGAGCTGGGAATTACACTGTATTGTACATACTGTATGTTAATAGATAGTGACTGTGCTGCTCTTAGGTATATCAGATCATCAAGACATCATTGCAGTCGCTAAAACATTTGCCTCAAATGCTCAAGACAATGACTCAACACATACAGTACCACAGCATTTATGTAATTTAAGGAAACAGTGTCCTCTAGTGTTGGTTAAAGAAACGGTTAATTTATAAATGCAAATTGTGTCTGTTGTTTACTCGTCCCAATCTTAATCTAAACCTCTGTCCTCATTGGAACAAGTAAGGGATGTTTATCAGAATCTACAAATTATCATATAGTGAAACTAAACGAGGACATACTGTTCCTAAAAGCTCCAAAACTGACATCAAAACATCTTAATGTCTTCTGACGTCATATGATAGAATAGCAGAACGTATTATTACTGAATAACAACTTAAAATTAGTTCTATTTATCACACAAAGCTATCCTAGTGGCTGTTCAAAGAAAATTCGTTTTTACATTCCACTATGCTACTTTAGCATTGTTTTTTTTAAATGTAATTATGAACTAGCTATACATGTTTGACCATTGAGTTGAATTTTAGTCGTTTTTGAAGCTCACAAATGATAAAATGATAGGAAACCTCAAGGGACATTGTGATTAAAAAGCTTCTGCTTTTACGCACAATTTTGGCGTTCTTCCTAGAACCTTTTTCATTGGCAGAATGTTTGTATATATATATATAATTATTATTTTCAGTCACCATGACCTTTAGTGCAGGGATGTCCAATCCTAGTCTTGGAGGGCCGATATCTGAGTGGATGGTGCATCAACTCATGCGGGTTTACATATCTACATGCTGCCATTTCAATTCTTTCCTTTTTATTGAACTTTTATCTGAAGAATGTATGTTGTTATAAACATTTCAAGTTTTTACAGTCTTTTATATTGCCATCTAACTTAATAAAAAAAGACAAATGGTTAAATTCTCAACCAGAATATTGTATTGTTTCATCATATGTAAACATAAGCAGAGGTCACTTATACACAAAGCCGCGAGGCAGATGGTTTCAGACACCATATAGTGCAAATCAATACCTTTTGATGGTTTGTAATAGCTACTATACTCTTGGTTTTATGCATAACTGCGTCTATTTAACAGAACAGAGCATGGCTTTTACATATTTTATTATATACAGAGTAGATGCTTTTATATTTAAATTTGGTCACAAGAAATATGGAAGCACGATTAGCAAAATAACATACAGAGTGCAAAGTAATTATGCTTCTCTATTGCAAAGTCCCATGTATAGTACACTGAAGCACCTCAGCTGTTGGATTATAAGCATTAAATGCTCAATAATGTGCAGATCTCCTCATAGACACTGACCTTCAAGCATTCTGTACAGAGACTCGCAGGCCCTTTGTGACTAAGGCAAGACATCAACTGTGGCAGTGCAAAGCATATTGATTTTATCGCCTCGGAAAACAAATCCCTCGCTAAAGTAGAACACCTGTAGGTCAACATAATATCTTTTGGTCCAAAGTCAGCTGTCACCTTTCACACCCCGTAACATGTCTCTAAATCATAAGGCTATATCCCAAAGAGGTTCAGTTGATTTTGGGTTGTGCTTTCGGAGGCTGCTGTTTGGAGTGCCCTGGCAATGGTGCGGAGTTCTCTACTGGTTCGTTTCTCCCTGCGGATGGAGACGGTTCTTCCACATGACGTACCGGATGTGTGTTTAGAGGAATGAATGCACTGGTAGTAGGTCCTTGGGAGAGATATTCTGCTGGACTTAATGTATCGGGTTGCGAAGATGTGGATTCATCAGCAGGTGGCATCGCTGAGGTTTGCTCATTTGTCTCCTACAAGAGGAGAACATAAAGGTTAAACATGCCAAATAAATGATTGAGGTAAGGTACACTTTATTTGTTAAAGGGTGTGCTAGAGTGATTTTTAAAAACATGTTTAAGTCACATTTTACCCCAAAATTTAAATAAAAAACAAAATTAAGCCTTTTTTAAAAATAATTTACATTGTAATATTATATTCATTGATATTGTGATATTTTCATTTTCCCTCTCAATTCTCATTGTCTTAATGCATCTAGATGTTTTTAAAAATAATATTTAACTATTCTCTATAGGGTTAAGATTAATGATACCTTTTTATTTTAATAAATATAAAGGCAGTATAACAAAAGCATAACGCTTTTTAAAGCATACATCCTAAAATGTAAATAATATATTTTTATTAAAATTTGAGAATCACAAAAAGTCACAAAAATCAATTGATGATACAAAACAAAAACTAAGTGGTTCTAAAAAAGAATTTATTTTAAGAATATTTTTTCCTCAATTATCATTACATTATATCTAGATTTAAAATTTTTCATTTATTTTTATAGGGTTAAGGCTAAAGTAAATACTACTGTATTTTTTAAAATAAAAATAGTACAATCAGTTATTACTATGATGTATTAATACTTAATAATTGTTATTTATTTATATATTTATTTATAATCCCCCCCCCCAGCTTTAACAGAACACTTTATACAATTAAGGCTATAACTTTTCCCCCATGATGACCCTTACCGCCAAAATAATTAAACAAAATAAAATAAAATTGCAAAAAACAACAACAATAAGAATAGGCCATTTAGGAAGAATTAAAACAAAACAAAACTAAATAAAAATACAAGATAAACTTCACAATATTATACACATTCACACACAAACAATATCATTATAGGAATAATAAAAATTCATTAATTAATTAAATAATTAATTTTTTATCAAACTTTGAGAACATGTGGTATAAATATCACCAAAAATATAATATTGTGGGGTGAAATATGACCTAGACAGGTTCTTGGACATATTTCGTGAGACTCACCAACCAAGCATTTGTTTGACTTCAAATATGAGTCACTGCTTATAAAAATAGTGTACTTTCCAGTTTAGTTCTTGTTTGTCATCTACAATGCGCCAAATGCAACAAACATACACACAGACATCCATATAACAGCATTTCCTGATTTTAAACATTTGCTCAAAAATTAAAATACACAAATATTTCAGTTGATGTTACAATAAAGAGCTTTATCTGAAGCCCTGACATGTAATGCTCTCATGCAGAGAAGAGAAATTTGGACACAAAGTAGCTGAAGCACAGAAGTGTGTTTTAAGAACAGACAAACAAAACTGACAACAGAGAAGCGTTTATTTTTGGTAAGAAGTGGGTTGTACAGTGGTGTTAGTAAGACTTACGTAAATGATCCAAGAATACATTAAGAATGAGAGAGGAACAGTGACAGGACTGCATGCATTTTTGTGTACACAAATCAAAGTGCAAAGACAGATTTTTTCTCACCTTTCCCCTGAGAAAATGACAGCATGAATGCAAAGAGAAAGATTGAACAATTCAGTAAAGAGATCAGTATGAAATTGGTTTTCACAATAATTACATACCAAAAAGCCAAGATGACAAATTAATAGATATAAATAAGAAAATCAGCAAGAAAAATGTAATGAAATGTTATTAAATAGCAAGAGTGAAACTTTCGCCACCTCCTTACGTCCACATCCCAAATCACAAAAGGTGCCACCCTACCTGCGGGGCTTGACTTTCACCACAGGGGTCGTTCTTTGACAAAGCGACCCTATCTCTGATCTGATAGAGGGCGAAAGCGATGGTGACCCAGGGGGAAGCAGAGACCACCCAGGCCGGCTTGTTAGCATCTTCTTGCTCTTCCTGATTCCTGGTTTTCTTAGGAGGCGTCTTTGATTCGGGGTTTGGCTGAGATGCGGATTGGTTCTGGACTAAGTCAATAGTGGCGATAGGCACTGGGCTGGAGGGAACTGGGATGTTCTCAGCCAACATCGAGCCCTCTGTAAAAGAGCACAAAGACGTAATCAATAGGCTGTCGCAGGTTTTACTGCTGCAAAATGACCTTGTTGTTGTAAAACAGCAGGATGAAACATACTTTTATCCTCGTTCTGACCTAACAGCCACTGTATCAGAGAGAAGATGAGTAATGTGACCAGAGAGGCCATTCCGAGGCCTCTGAAGGTTTCTGCAGCACCTAAACAGGAAGTTTGCAAGATGAAAAAGGAAGCTTGAGAGGAACCAAGCCTGAAACTGTAAGATGAAAGTCATTCACACTGAAAAGCACTATCTGAAAGTGTTCTTTTTGATATATATATATATATTCAGTGGGGGGGGTCCAAAAGTCTGAGAATTGTATACAATTTTATATATATATAAATATTATAATACTCTCTCTCTCTCTATATATATATATACACACACACACATTACAAATACATATATTTATTCATACACACATACACATATATATATATATATATATATATATATATATATATATATATATATATATATCACATAAGGAAAAAACAAAAT